CTAGGCCCTAGATTCAGTCTCCAGTACACACACACACACACACACACACACAGCACACAGCACGCAAGTAATTATGTAACTATCCACTGCAGGATTTAAAACCTAGAAATATATAAGTAATATAATTGTCAACAACAGCACAAAGGAGGAATGTGGAAACAAAACTGTAACAAGCTAAAGAAATAATGACAGACAAATGATAAAATCATAATTATAACAATACCTTGTAAGGTTTGCAACATGAATAGATGTAAATATATACAACAACACAAGGGGGAAAGGGAATAGAGCTATATAGGAATTAATATCTCTACGTATTACTAGAATGAAGCTACTATAAATCTAAAGCTGATTCTTACAAGCATAGAAAATAACAGAGGAAAAAAAAAGAAAATAACAAAGAAAAACATTAACAAAATGAAAATGTTACATTAGAAATCAATAAAGGCAAAACAAAGCAATAAGGGGTGAACAGAGAAATGAAAAAGACCTGAGAAATTACAAAGAGTAAGAGCAGAAATACACCCAACTACATCAATAACAACATTAATTATGAATGGATAAACAGACAAAAGGCAGAGATTATCAGACTGGATTTAAAAAGCATTGTTGAATTTTACGCTGTCCACAGGAGATGTACTGTAACTCAAAGACATAAATATATTAAAGTAGAAGAATGTATAACAGCTCAGCCTCTTTGGAAAAGAGTCTGGAGGTTCCCCAGTCAGCTACAGAGAGCCCTGTATAACCCAGCGATGCTACCCCCCCACGAAGACCCAAGAGAAATGAAAATATACATCCGCACAGAACCATGTCCCTGATGTTTATAGCAGCCCCAGTCATCATAGCCAAACGGGAGAAACCGCCCGAATGTCCAGCGGATAAAGACAAAGGCACCTGTAACACACTCATGTAACGGAAAACCCTTCAGCTCCACAAAGGACTAAAGAGCCAGCACAGGCCATGAACCTTAGAAACTTGAGCGAAAGAAGTTGCAAGGACCATGCACTACACAACTGCATTTAAGTGGAAGCCCGGAATAGGGAGCCCTATGGCACGAGAAAGCAGACAGCCAGCAAGGGGCGGAGCAGGGGAGAGGCCTGTGACAGGCAGGGCGCTAAGGGCACAGGGATGCTCTCCCGAGGCAAAGAAAATGATCTGACGCTAACTTTGGTGATGGACGTACCCACCTGGGAAGACAGCGACACACACTGAGTCATCACTGCAAATGGCTGAGTGGCACAGCATGGCGACTACAGCTCGATCAAGTTCATTTAAAGACTTTTGAATACTTTTTTTTTGCTGAAGGAATCATTCATTCACTAAATGTTTATTATATGTGTATGAAGCACCAAGCACTGGGTCGGGTACAGGACAGATGATGCTGAACCAGTTCTGCAGGGTTCTGGATAGCACCTGACCCAGGGAGGAGACCTACCCTGGAGAGCCAGAAGCTGATCATTCCTGTCCCGCCCCAACACCCACCTGCCACTTTCACAACCTGCTGTTTCACATAACTAACAGCTGGCCTCATTTTTACAGGGGAATCCTGAATGTGCTGCTAAGCTGGCACCCTGCCCTGAACCCCAGTTTCCCTGGAGCTCGTGGCATCCCCCTCTGAACCTAGCGTGGTCTCATGGGCCAGCTCTTATTCTTGCAAGTGGTGAATGAATACTATGATAAACTAGTGCTTCTAGGAACTACACTAGGATGACCAGCTGAACCTCGAGACACCTCAGGATCCCGTGCATGGGCAGAACGAGCACCTCGGAACTGCAAAGCACACTCACCTCATTTCCTTGCAGCTGCACACACAGCTCCTGCCCCTGAGCCTAGAAGCATCCCCTACATTGCCTGCCCTGGCTTCACATTAATCCTTCACATTTCACCTCCTCCAGGGAGCACCGGAAGAGTCAGCAGCCTCCATCTCTGCTTCTCTGTGCAGTAGACCAGCAGGTAAAAACACAAGAGCTGCAATCAATAGGCCTGGCGAGGTGAAACTTCAACCCTACATCTTAATGTGCAGTCCTGTTAAGTGTCCCAATCACGCCTGGATTGCTCCATCTACAGGAAGGGGGCACCCCCTCCTGGAGTTCAATAAGGTACTACACACAGCACGCTTAGAATGGGGCAAGCATGCTGTGCGTGCCCTTGTCTTGTTCGAGCTGGTGCTGTCATACCTGTTCATGTGGATCTTTTCCCGACAGTCCCCGCTTAAAAGTAACAAGTTTCTTACTGCTTTTCATATCCACAGCATATAACAAAGTACAGACACAGGAAGGGTGTGAAGGATGAAAAACACAAACTATTAGTCCAAGCCACATATGCTAGCAGAACTCTGAAAGAGTGCAAGTTTGAGCCCAACCTGGGCAATTTAGTGACTATGTGAGACACTATCTTAAAGGATAAAGGGGTTGGGGTACAGCTTAATACAAACTCCCCAAGTTCAATAACCAATATGAGGACCAGCCAAATAGCTCTGAAGATTAAAGCACCTGCAAGCGGGTGCAGGGGCCGAGAGTTTGATCTCTGGGCCTGCAGTTCTGCCCCCCCTGCCCCCTGCCCCAAGACATGCAGAGACGAGAAGTCAATTGAGACTGGGCACGGTGGCATGCGTCTGTAATCCCAGCTCTTGGGAGGCTGTAAACAGGCAGATCACTAGGAGTCTGATTTACATAGGAAGACCCTGAACACCCTGTAGACCCTTCCCTAATATACAAAAAAAAAAAAAAAAGGCAGGAAGGTAGGAGATAGGAGGTAGTATTATCCCACCAATGTCAAATAAAAGTAAGAACACAGTGTGTGGGTATACTAGACTAGAATATCTAAAATCAGGCTGCCTTGGAAAACTCAGGCTGATGGCCTGAACTATCCAGAAAGAATCCAAATGCTTGACAGAGTGGCTGCACAAACAAGAACAAAACGGAAGGCCCATGAATGATACAGAGGCTGGTGCAGATCCCAGAGAGGGTGCGGACAAGCCAGTATGCAGGGAAACAGCAGGCACAGAGGGCCACAGGCTGCCCAAAGGGTGAAGATCAGAGCACCAGCCCGCTCCGCATGTGTCTAACACCACAGGTCAATCTTTACCTTCTCCGAATTCATTCTGAAGCCAAAGTCAGCTGAATAAGAAAAACAATAATACTTCTAATGCCCAAAATTAGATGGCATGAAGTCTCCAAAATCTGTTAAATAAGATACAATAAGAAGGATCTACTTTCTCCATGACAATACTAAAACTTCCCAAAAAGGAAAACCCCACATATTTCTGTTATGGTCAATTCTTTTATTTCATAAAAAAAATTTTTTAAATGTATTTAGTACAGGGTCCACAGGGTCTCACTACACAGGTCGGACTCATAGTGACCCTATTTTCAGCCTCCCAAGTGCTAGGATTACAGGCACTTGTCACCACACCCAGTCTCAACTGCCTTCTCAGCACACCCGGGGGGGAGGGAGGGGGCAGGACCAACACAGCCTGCTGGGGATCGAACCCTGGTCCCTGCATCTGCCTAAGCAGGTGCTCTAATCTGCTGATCTATCTGGCTGGCCCCATAAGTAGATCTTTAACAGCAACCATTTGTTTAGTTTATGTCAGAGAAGATCAACAGTTTAATTAAATAACTATTCAAGATTCCACCTGGTTAAGTCTTCTCATCTGGTACAGTTAGAAACTGAAATTTAAAGAGCATATATCTCTACACAGAGATTTTCCCTTTAGCAAAATTTTTACTTGTTTTGTTTTTTTTTGTTGTTGTTGTTTTTTTTTTTTTTTTTTTTTTTTTTGCCCCTCTCCAAGACTAGAGCCCAATTCACAGAGTGGGAAAAGAATATTACACTTGCTTACAGCACCAAGCATATGTCTCCTTTACATCAGCTCATGTTATTGATTACTGCACCCAGGGCAGCCCTACTGAGCTACCTCCTCAGACCTTTTTAATTTTTGAAGATCAGGTCTTGCCAATCACCCAAGCTGCCAGAACTTTCCATTCTCCTGCCTCCATCTCCCACAGTGCTGGAATTACAGGCATGTATCACCACACCCGCCTTCACATCTGCTCATTTTATACCTAGAGATGCACGTGTGTGGAAAACACATATGTATAAAATATATGTGCACACATAGATATGTTACCTAGCTATGATCAAAAAACTCGGGTCATGAACAGTCTCTTGAGCTGTTTTCCTATGACTCAACACCATGAGCTCAGTGACGGCAGCTGCAACCAGCCCACAAGATGATCACTGTAACTTGAATTAATCAAAATAAATATGCACACCTCCTTCCTTCTTCCCCCTTCCTGCCACTCCTCAGGTTAAGGAAAAGAGGCAAAATGAATTTACTCCTTATATTTTCTCCTCAAAAAAAAAAAAAAAAAAAGAGAGAGAGAGAGAAAGAAATACATTCCTCTAAATACAATTCCAATCAATAAACAGACGACTTCCCATTGAAACACAGTTCAATAATCTAAACACACTTTAAAAAAATTATTCCAATCAGAATTTCTCCTTGTCCCCTTGTAAATCCTTTTGCCTGTGGAGAAATCAGTCAAGGCATGCAGCTTAAATCATTAACTACATAGCACCAAACATTAGCATAATTGGCATGTAAATTTCATGAAGGCACTGATTATGTCCTTTTAAGTGTTATACAACACCCAGCACAAGAAAGCTTATTAAACATTTATGATGATTAGTTTAAAAATGCCAAAGAAAAGTCTTTGTTATTCAACTTGGCTGTCGAGTGTAATATAAACCACTGATCAGTGTCTATTTCTCGGAGTGCAACTGTATGAAACTAAAAACAAAGCAAATCCCATTGAAATGGGAAACTCTGTTCTGTCCAAGAATATCATTTTGGTTTTGCATCAAAAGAAACTGCCAGCAGAGAGAACGCAACAGGCAGGTTGCTAGGATATTTAACCTAAGCACGTATGAACTATTTGACAAGCAAAAAGCCTGCTGCATTTCGCGCCCATCGCCAGATGTCTTCTCCTTACCTTTCCCATTTTGCCAGGTCGTGTACCAGGATAAAGTAAGGAACGAAGTGAAAAATGCTAATGCCGTGGCTACAGTTCCATTGCGGAGCCTCATCTCATTTCATCGTCACGCTGGTTCCGAGGTTGGCGGTGACGATCAGGGACTGCTTTCTCTTTAGTCTGAAGTCCACGGAATCCAGTACTCCTGGCTCTCAGACAATAAACGCAATCAGTGTGACAGGTTCATTCCAGAGCTCTGCAGAAGGTGTCTAGCAGTAACCCCGCTCACAATCGCTGCTCAGGATTGTCTTTGCAGGTTTCAAAGGCTGATGTCTCCTGCTGTTTCCCTCCTAGGGGAGGAGGGCAGAGAAAGAAAAACTTTCTCAATAATGCAAAGCATAGGCTTTTTTATTTTTCACCATTATAAAGAGACTTTGGGCAACACTAAACTGTAGCTATGAAGATTATCCCTATTTCTAATTACTCATTTAATATATTAGGATTATATGGGCCTTCCCTGTGAGGAAAAAGGCTTCAAACTGCATTTCCTCCTTGCTGGTATTGTTTGTAAAAAGAGAAGTGTTTCCTTCAAAGAGAGAAGTCATTGGGCTCACAGATTCCAAGATGATAACTCTAACAATCACACAATGTTTCCTGAGTTAACACTCCCTATTCGAGTATTCTTATAGCACAATGACAAGAAACATTTAACAAAACCAAAAGAAAAATAATAAGTTGATGGACTACAATATACAAGAGTGAAAGAATCTGGTCCTGGATCCAGCTCTGATATTACTTGTGTGATTCCTGGGATGTCCCTTATCTTGAAGTCAAAGCTTTTCCTACCTGTCCTGTCTCATCTTTTCCATATGTCTTAGTTACTTTTCTCTCATTGCTGGGACAAAATACCCAACACCTCAAATTAAGGAAGAAAAGGTTTATTTAGCTCATAGTTAGCGGAGGTTTCAGTCCATACTCAGCTGGCTCCAAGGCAGAGTGGCACAGGGCAGAGGGCAGCCGTTCAAGGCTGAGGAAGATAACGAAGAGCAAAGGGAGGGGCAGTGGCTGCAGCAGCTAGCTAGCCCCTCTCCCCTCCTTACATTGTGATGCAGATTATCTGCCCCAGGGCACCCACAAGCCGGAGCATTGGATCATTCATGAATCAAAAACTCTAGAAGCCGCCCCATGACTGCATGAGACTTTGGGGGGACAACTAAACCCAAAGCATAACAGCATGTAATCATCAGTGATGAAAAGGTTAGCGTTTCTATTGCTCTCTATCATCCTCATAAAGCAAGCTCTGTTTTCTCAGTGATGAACCCAATCCCAGGTGTACACTAGGCACGTTCATGCATTTAGAAAACGGAGCTGCCTCAAGTTGGGGTGGATGCTTGTAATCCCAGTGGCCTGGGGGACTGAAACAAAAAGATCCTGCACTCCAGTCTCACCTAAGCAAAGTAGTGACCCTTGTATAAAAATATAAAAAAGGGCTGAGGACGTAACAGTGAAAGGCCCTAGGTGCCATCTCCAGCACCCCAAAAGAAGCAATCCTGCCCACCCTCCACCAGCCAAGGCCCAGCACTGGGCACTGTCTCAACTCAGGAAATCTGGGAGGTCCCCATCCAGCTAACCAAACTGCTGAGCACATGGACAGAAATGCTGACCCAGAAGTACTTAGCAGGTACTTAGCACATACGTTGTTCTCAATAAATATTAACTGTTAAAAATTAAAATAAAACAAATATGGTGGGCCGGGCTCAGTCCACTCCACATCCATACACCAGGGGTCTCTTTACCTCGAGGCAGGTCAGGTAGCGAGAAATGTGCATTGATTCCTGGCGGCCTCAGGGGGACCAGCAGCAGCTGTTGGCAATATACTAATGACACTAGTGGGATAAGTTAATGCGTGTCCAGAACTGCCAACAAACTCAAGGGACAACTGCCTCAGCGAAGAGCTGGCTGATGAAAGCAGCCCTCTGGAGGTGACTCAGAAATTACGGTAGCTTTAGCTACTGGCTCACATTGACCAGGACCAGAAATCCCCACTGGAACAAAAAAAAAAAAAAAAAAAAAAAAAAAATCACGGGCACAGTAATGAGAAGAGTGAAGATGACGACCACTGAGACTCGCTGAGTGCTCCCCGTGTGCTGGGTTCATTGTGCGATTCATACCTCCCCAGATAATCCTATGAGGCCGGCATTATTAATATCATTTTACACACAAAGAAATTCACCCAGAGAGAAAACTAATTTGCGTGACTCCGAGGTTCCAGGTCTTAGCCACCACCTTTGGCCTCTTAAATTCAGCTGCCTGCTGAATACGTCTGTTAAGCTATAAAAGATGGGCCTATTAAGGTCTACATGGCAAAACTCACAGGAATTTTGAAGTCTAGCATACAACCCTAAACAAATTTCTCACTTCCTGTAGCCCTTGGCTAATCCTCTGCCCCACCCCTGGGACCCCCAACAAAGGCTGCCTGTTACCCTCTCGGGCCAGCAGCTCTAATTCCCATTTTAGGAACTGCGAACTCCCCCTACGCTGCTCCTTCTTACTCCCTGAGCACAAGGAGCACCGGCAAGGTCTTCAGTAGAGTTGGCCTTGCTAAGATCAAAGGTGTTCACCTTCCTTAGTTCAGACAACTTAGTAGTAAACATGTTTTTTTTTGCAATCTTAGAATTAAAATGCTAGCCAGACACCATGGTGCATGCCTGGAATCCCCGCTACTCACAAGCTGAGGCAGGAGAATCCCAAATTCTTGTCTCAAAATTAAAAATAAATGAATTAAAATTTAAAGGGTTGGGGTTATAGCTCAGCAGCACTCTCTGGAGGATCCCCCACCACCACCACCACAAATAAAAACTTGATGGCAAAAAAAGAAAATCATATAATTTAAAATTCTGTTTAGAGTCTAATACATTGTCTTAAATAAATAAACACCCCCAAACATCCTAACTATAACAGAGAGCCGGTGTGCGCCTATAAATCCCAGCACTCTGGAAGGCTAGGGCAGGAAAATATTTAACTTCAAGCCCAGCCTGGGTAAAACAGAAAGACCCTACCTCAAAACAAATTTAAAAAGGAGCTGGGGCTATAGCTCAGTCCAAAGATCCCAGGTTCAATCTCAGCACCACAAAGTATTTGAAATGGAAGGGATAATTTGCGTGGCATAAAGATGCTTGTAACTTTCACTTGTTATGTACTTAGCCATATTTTACTGAATCTACCTTATTTTTATTTTTTTTAAGTTTGTCATATTAAACACTCAGTTAACAAGGAGGAATTAAGGAAGCACAAAATCCTAAAAGGTATTTTAAAACAATTATATAAAATACAAAAAAAAAAAAATCCAGTATAACCTCAGATAAATGCATACAGAAAAGTAAAATGAACTCTCAAATCAAATTAGGCGATGATATACTATCCCAATACATGCAAAGGATCACAAACACTAATCCAGGAAGTTAGCAAACAGTGTTGAGGATGATACTTATAATGAATTGTGTTATTGAGACCTAAATTTTAACAAGAAAAATAAAGCACTTTACTCGGCAAGAATGTAGTCATACATTTTTAATTGGGTTTCTAAACTAAGGAAGCTTAACTGCACGCCACAGGTGGGTAAACTCTCCAGCTGAGCGCCAAACCTGGTACGGCTAACAGGCTGGCTCGGTGAGCACAACCGACCCACATTTGGGGGGTGGGGCTAGTGGGAATCAAACTCACAACCTCAAGCTTGCCAGGAAGGCTGTGCGCCCGCTGAGCTATATCCTGACCCCCACCTTTCTGTCAGAACTCACAGCTGTAAACACTCTACTCTAGCGCCTTAGAATTCTCCCAAGATTTACCTCTTAAGATATTTGCATCTTCAAACAACCATCAAAAAAGACAATGATTAGATTACTAGGCGTTTCTCCACCCTAAAGATGAGTGGGACACTAAACTCTAGAGCTCAGAATGAAAAATCTTTTATGTTAACATATGTAACGATCGTGTATCTTAACATCCTTAAGATTTTTCTTACTGGGTACAAAACCCTCATTCTACAGTGTTTCCCTGAAATAGCGTGCTCCGTGCCTCTGAGAACACTTCGCTGAACATTTGGCATAGTCCTTAACCGGCAGCCCAGACAAACAGGGTGTCTGAGGACTACAAGGCTCCATCCATGATATCCACAACCAATGAAAAGCATGACGTAAGCCTATATAACTCTGTGCACAATTACGTTAAAATTCGTACTTCCCGCTTATAAAGTACTGATGTTTCTCTTCAATACAGTTTACATAATTTCATCGACTTGGTCCTTTCTTTGGATTGACACTTGCGATTTAAAGAAACCTATTAACCATAATCTGCCAGTAAAACTATTTTTTTTTTTTTGACAGTCAGTAAAAGAAGCATCCAACACATAAAGGCAAACCCTTTGATTCTAAATTTAGAGTCTACCTTCAAACCAACGACTTTGCTATTCTTTTATCTTTTATCCAAGGACTCATCCGACAGCCAAAGCACAGCCGCAAAATGTAAGGAAAGCTCCAAGAACATACATTGTCCCTGCTTGGATTTGGCAACTAGGATGTAAGCAATGAATGGGTTCCAGAGAAACAATGTTGCAAGACATAAAAGCAAGCGGCGCCGCTGCCAGCTCCCGGACGCAAGCCTTCCAGATGTCACCGGGCACACCTAGCGGGATTGCCCCGTGGACCCAGCCGAGGGTCCCACGCATAGCTTTCTCCGTATGGGGTAAACTGAGGCCCAGAGTGGGGCCGGAACAATTCCAGACTCCACCGATCAGGTCTCCACTCTGTAGGCAAACTCGTAGCCTCGGCTGCACAATCCGAGCCCTAGGCCAGGGCAGCACCCATCCCACCTGCGCTGCGGGTTCCGAGAGCCCCTCGGCTTCGCCGCCCTGGAGATGCACTCTTCGCCCCACTTTCCTGCAAAGTGCGCGAGCCCCAAGAATGCCGAGATCGCACCAGGTGAGTGGCGGGGCTGCGGCGGGAGGGTCGTCCCGCCCATAGCACGGCCCGCGCCGGAGGGAACCGCGCTCGGCGTGCGCGCTCTGGCCCGGCCCGGCCCAGCCCGGCGCGGAGGCTCCGTCACCAGCAGGTGGACTCCCGCAATCCCGCGCCGCAGC